CAGGAGAGTTCGAGGAAGATGCCGACCACCCTATACCTATGTTAGTATTCACTGCAACGAGAAGAGATTATATGGGGAGGAAGACTGACCATAACGCCGGACTGGAGTGTGGAAAACACCCTGCAATTCCCATAACCGTGAACAGCATCGTCGAGAGCCCAATGCCGAACATGACCAGCGCTCGTCTCCCACAAACGGTCATCACGTACCCCGTGATCAGGGAACTGGCAATCCCAAACGCAATACCTATCTCCGTCATCATTCCCGTCTTAGCAGAAGACATGCCCGCCTGCACGAGAAAATACGGTCCGTTAGTCATGAAGCTAGACCCAATCACCTGTGACAGAGCATTGCAGTAGAGGATGATCCGCGTGCGGCGCCAGTTGACTCCCTTGAAACATTCCAGGAAGCTGGCCTCCTTGGCTGCTTCGTTGCGCTGTTGCTCTTCTTCGTGTGTGCGGACTATGTCTGCGAGAATGAGTGGTGACTCCGACGCTGGGTTGCCCAGTCGGGATAGCATGCGGCCGGCCTTTTCGCGTTGGCCCTTCATGACGAGGTAGTATGGGGATTCAGGTATGAACGGGAGGAAGAGGAGGATGACCCCGGGCCAGACCCATCCGGAGGCAAAGAGGACCTGAATTGTCAGCTTATGAGGTTAGACGACGCATATGGGCGAAGTACCTTGTATGCAGCATCGGTGGACATTGCCATGCGAGGAAGAGCCACAGATGCGGCGATCAGATATCCCAGATTCTACGATATCCATTGTCAACATCACTGTCTCTTGCTGATCTACTCGGCGGGAACATACCATGCAAAAGGTATACCCCGAAAGAGCAATACCTCGCACCTCAAGCGATGTAATCTCTGAAATATAAGTCTGCCCCGTCGTCAGAGCCAGACCCAACGACAAGCCATTGACAATCTTCCCAGCGAGAAACGCGCCCGGTGTCGACGCCGTATACACGACTGCAATGCCAGCGGCAGATAAACATGCCGCGACGAGGAAGGCTGCTCGACGTCCGAATCTGTCCTGGATGGGACCCGCGGCTGTTGATCCGAGCATCGTCGCGACTTGAGAAAGGGCGTTCCACAGGGACTGCCAGTACGCGGGGATCACGTATGAGCCTTTCGTGAAAGTGCCGAATGTTTGTCTGGGAAGTCATATCGTAAGCGACTGTCTAGATTCTTACCTATGCTATACTGGGGAACACTCACTCAAAAGCAGTCATGGATAGCGCCAGCGACAGAACCAGGTTATCGAACCCGTACATCAACGCGCCGATATTGCCATACAGACAGAAGAGGACCACGATAGGATTCGCTCGGAGTGCCTGCCATGTCGACCGGCCATGCTGGCTAGCCGGGTCGTGGATCCCCAGTGTTTCAGTGTCTGGTCGACGGACCTGCTGGTCCACCACCTCGAGATGGCTCGACTCCGACTTTTGGTCGGTGGACATAGTGGCATTCAATTATGGACTCTGCTGATGATCAAGTCCTGGGTGTGCTGCAGTTGATGAGGCCGGACATGTAATGAGGTGTGGGGGAAATATAGCTGATACCCATGCCCCATTAATGACCAGGGAAATGACCAGGGCCCTGGGCAGGGCGGGTCTACCCCATGGGGTACAATCTGGCAGCCTGGGAAGACTCGAAAGCAATCAGAACGTCTTCCGAGGAAGCGGAAATGCCGGACCCTCCTTGATGTCGGCAATTCCGGGCCTGGATCGACAGTTAGGGGGCAAGCTTTCCATGGAACAGAACGCTGATTTAGTGCATCTCCACGCGTTCTGCACATCAGCTTGGGCCTGAGGTGGATGAACTTTCACAAGGTTCAGGCTGGTATCCTCTTTTGGGGTAACTCGACCACTTATTGTCATTGCAGTATTTCAATCGAAGACATGGGCTCAGGATGTATGTACATTCTTATTCATCTATCAAATGCATATACAATTCTACTACGTACCACAACATCCCTACTCAGCAAAAGTGACAGACTCCCCAGGACCCAGCACCCTCTCAACTAGCCGACCATCAACCACAATCTCCACATGAATCTTACTCGTCACCTCGACACTTAGTGGCTTCCCCGGGGCCCACTGCAGCTTAATATTTCCCCGAGAGGTATGCAACAACCCATCAGCTGCAGCCACTAATTCCCTCCGGGGCTCGATACGGACCCGCTCAAAGCCTGGCTCGGCAGGCTTCACCCCGAACAGCTGCGTGACGATCTCGTTCACCGGACTGGCGCTCCACCCATGACAGTCGCTGCGGGCGTTCACCTCATCCTCAGCCCATGTCGTCAGGTTATTGGCCATCATGGACCGCCATGGATCAAGCATGCTAGGAAATAGTTCGCTGTATATGCCTGTCTTTTCTGCTGCTCGGAAGACGTAGAATTTCATTGCGTATGAGCATTGTGCGAGGGAAGAGTCGGTCACGGTCTGTCTGAGGAGCTGCTTTGCGACGTCTCCTGTTACTGTTTCGCTGAGGATGGCAAAAACTTGCGTGTGTTGGCTGTACTGTTCCACTCCTGGGCCATCCAGGTATAACTGGGAGTTAGACGTGCAGCGCTGATTCACGGCACTCCGGATACTGTGCGCCCGCGCCCGATACTCCTCCGCCGTGCTTATCCGCCCGACAAACTCGCACAGCTCCGCCGCATGTAGTAGGGCATACGCATACATCAAACTGTTAACCGTAGCCGCACCCGCGGTATGGTACGCCGGAGGCATACACGACTTGAAGATCTGCCCCGGAACGAACCAATCCTGCACCCAGTCGACGAACGGCCACGTATCGGGGTCAAAATGGCCCACTAGACCACGGTCATCAAGGCGATCCTCGAAATGCTGGATGATGCTATCCACTGTGCTTAGGTACCTGCGCACTAGTGTCCTATCCGCAAAGTACATCATGTGGTCGTGTACCATCAGAATCCAGAATAAGGAGAATTGCGGGATCTGCTTAGAAGCGAAGCCAGTCGGATACTGTGCCACGATCAGTCCGTCTGGTGTTCGGCTGGCGTGGAACTCCTCGAGAGTCTTGCGGGCGAGACGGTCATCGGGGGATAATTGGTAAGTGAACAGCATCTGTAGTCGAGAATCTGATGCAAATTGGTTCTGTTCGTAGAACGGGCAATCTTCGTATGTCTCGTGGCGGCAGTTCTGGAGGGTTCGTAAACTGATCTCCCAGATCTTGTTGAGCTCGGCACCAGCGTCGACTTTGGTGGTGATCTCTAGTGGGTAGGAAGTTTCTCGCAGGGAGATGTTCGTCAGTGTTATTGGGTTGGCAGTTGTGGTTATCTCGAGTTGCACGTAGCGAAAACACCGGAACCAGAATGATTCAAATGAGTGCACGTCCTGTCCAGAGGTGACAGTGTAAAAGTCCCTCACACCATACAGACGACCACTCGCGTCAGATCGATTAGTTTTGGTTCTCGGGATGGGAAATGGTGCGGTCTCCACACCCATGTCCTTCTCGTAACACTCGGAATACAGGATGCTGATCTTTGCGCCCCCTCCTCCACTGAAGCCGAAGCTGACGAACGCCGTCATCAGCGCCTCAACGCTGAGATCCACAGTAACCTGCGCATTTGCTGGGATCACCACGGGCTTGTCCTCTCGAACCAGCAATTTCCACTCGTCTTCGCTGACAGAACCAGTCGCCTTGACTATTCCGTCGAACCTCCCTTCAATCTCCGGTAAATCCGGTATCGGACGCGGTGCCAGCTTCCACGGGCTCACTATAGGAAGCATCTTCACAGCATTGGACTGGAATACCGCCTTATCCCACGTCGCGTCATCATATCCAGGCATTTGCCAACCGGTTATGGTTTGGTCCTCCTCAGCGCGTTCATTGTTTGACAGAAACGGCGGACCGAGCAGGTAATTCCATTCAGTCTGTGGGATAATCTTGACGGATCGTTGCTCGATGCACGTCCACGAGGGATCAGTAGAAATGGCGAGTTCAGGATGCGGAGAGTACAGCATGAACCCGGGCAGCGGCATGCTCACAATCGACGAGGAGCCCGGTACGAGGGTAGAATATCGTAGAACACGCGCACTGATTACATTTTCACCATCGCGAAGGTATGGGCGGATATCGATTGTCTCGTAATACCATTTTCCTGGATAGGACTTGCAGGGACCCCAGCTCACGCGGTGACCGTTGACGAAGAGGCGATAGCGACTGTCGGCAGAGACGTGCACAGGGAGGTTTTGTAGGTCATCTGAAGGGTGCCATTGAAAGGTCTTTCTGAAGAGGAAGAGCCGGCCAGGGCGATTATCTTCTTCGAGATAGTGAGGTAGCCAGATCCAAGGGGCTGCGCGAGTCCAGTCGGGTGAAGCCATGGTGACGGTTAAGGACTAGATGACTGTCCTGCGTTCGATCTGACGACTGAATTTTCATTCACAGAGGGCAGGAGAACCCTCACATGCTGGAGTATAGCCATTCTGCTTGTTTGTTTTGAGAAGCCAAGCAAGAAATGTTCCAAGTCGGATATTCCGCTCGGTGGGGATTGCCCCGAATCCGATACCGGGTCCAAGCCTAGCCTAACCGTACTATTGGTATGGGTGTAATGCGGGGAGAGCATCCTGTGACGTCACATGACACGTCGCGTCCTCGGAAGATCCGGTGGATTATGCAGAGAAGATGGAAGGGAAGCAAAGGAAGCTTCTATTACTGCTTGGGGGAGAGAGAGAAAAGAGAGGATGGAATCTGTAATAGGCATCTATTAAGGTATGGTGGAGTATTCTTTGCTTTCATCCCTTTGCGACCGTTGCCAACACCATTAACTGAATATATATAAGCCCTACATATGGGGCACTGTTAGTGCAAGGAGCTTTGATGAAGTGAATACCAAGACTTAATATTGTTCATTTCACTAGAATGAATATATTACAAGAAATGAAAGCATAACATGATGACACGCTAAGTCAATAACTTAAAGATACTTTGATATGCAGCTATAATGAGAAACAGCGGGACCATCATGTCGGGTCGTAGGTATAGTAGACCATGAACCATATGAGAATGAACTGCATACTATGCCAGCTGCAGTCTAGTCAGTCCATGACGAGGAAATGCTATCATGAACAAAAGTCTCACCTCTCGCCACCCCCGCGGTCGCCTGACAACCCTGGTTCCGGCAACCCATTCGCCCCTGCACCCTCTGCTTATAATAGCCACGGGACCCTGCACACACTCCCAACTACACTATATCTGTAACCAGCAAAAGACAAATCCAACCACAATATACTAAAACATCCATCATGCATCAAATGCTCATCGGTCGCTCCCGACCAGTCGTCGGCAACATCAGCCAGAGACTGCAGTCGGCGGGTACGCTGCTCCCTGTGCCATGAATGTTTCAATCTCAAGATCAGCAGCTGAATGCGTCAGACCCTACCCAACGACGACGACATATCATGCGGTCGGATACCTATCGCAAGGATAGCTCAGAACCAGGCCATATCCCCGTCAGCTCCTTACGCGTGCACGGCGCCGCCTGGGCCGTGGCTGGCGCCAGCATGTACGCTACCCTGCATGGGGTCTACATGATGCTCAAGTCCTTCCGGCAGATTCGCTACATCTAATCCTGTCATTTCCTTGAAGAATGGAACCTGTACATGTGTTGATTTGAGCGATATGCAATGATATGAGCTTGCCCATTCATCAACCAACTTTTGTAGGAGTAAACGGTATTCGAGAGGGTGGGGATATACAGCGGTCTTGGAATGGACTCGAACTGGTAGATGTGTAGTGACTTGAACTCTTATATATCGGCAGAAAGAGCTGTTTGTCCACGCGTAGGAGAGCCGTGTGTCGCATCTGTGATGGACTTGGGTTTCTGGCTCCACCACTACAGTCTTTCATCGGACCAGCTTCAAATGATCATATGTATCATGCGGTTGATGATATGAGCTGATGGGTTAGCTATGCCATGTATCGTAATGAACACCACAGCACCGTAGACGACGAGGGCTGAACTTAAGGTCAATGACTGAAACTACCATATCATACTGGAGAGTAGCCCATTGCGAGGAAATGCTCTGCGTACCTGCACCGTTGACTGCTGAAAGGGGTTTGTTGAGCTGACTGACTGCACCTCCACGAGATATCACGTCCGTGGTAGCTGATGTTAGTGACAAAAAGAATCAATGGATGGACATATCGCGTCACCAGGCACGAGTTTCAACTGACCATCAATTGTATTGTCGAAGAGGACGTCTCAGACAGAATGGGGAGTGAAGGAACCCCGGATCTTGATGCATCAATCAATCAAGTATTCCTTTGCATGGGTCAGCCAAAGGCGACCGGCTTATGCTCGGTGCAAAGGCCCCAACAACTGCTCCTATTGTAAGGTAGTGCTAGTCTTGGGGCGAAAGTCCCGGAACATGTTTCACTGAGGATGTGTCGCATATCCATCGCCTGGTCCGGGGTTGTAGCAGAGGATGGCCAAGATGTGTGAGCGATTTAGACACTATTGCTGACAGTAACGGCTGAAGAAAAAGAATAACTGGACCATGAAGACAGCAGTGTTCTATATGTTAGGACAATAACCGCTTTGCTGAGAATAGAGGCTGCGGAAGTTGATTGCTTAGGATGGAGAGGTTACGTTGTTCTGTTCTTTCTGTCAACAACATTGGTCGATAATACTTCCGAGGTATGTAGCTATGATGCAGATTGTGAATGTGAGAATGGGTTTACAATCGTGGCAGATAGACAGGCACATAAATTTCGATCGGGATCAGGAGAATGAAAGTTTGTTGATGGCTGTTATACTAGGGCTCTTCCATGTCGTGACGTCATGGACCAGCTTCTCATGGAAAATTCACATGGATTGAACCACGAAAAGCACACAGCAACACAAGAGAATTCCCTATGAGTGCTTTCTGCCCTTCGATCAACAGTGGAAGGTTTCACCATCAGCCACTGCAACCTTGATCGGCACCAGTAGACTCACGGCGCCGCAACCCAACTCTGACCTGGAGCCATTCCTCAAACCTTCCTTTCCCCTTCCCCCCCTTCAGACACCGAGCCCATGCAGACAATAACCAGCAATAGCGCCATGGGCGGCCACCCAGACGTGTCGGCCCAGCAGCTGGCCGACATGATGCCTATCGGGCTGGCTGTCCTTGATCACCAGGACGGGTCCGTCTTCGTGAACAAACGCTTCTTGGAATTGACCACCTGCACCTCCGATCGTGCCTTTGAGTGCTGGTGCCAGTCCATCCATCCCGAGGACTTTGATCGCGTAGCAGCAGCATATCGAGAAGCCTCTCAGTCCTACCATGCCCTCCGCATCGAATACCGTACCCGGTTGCAGCCGTGTCTATGGCGCGTGTGTTTGTTGACGCCACTGGAGGATGAGGAGGAGCGACAACGATTCAACCTGGGACCAGAAGGGGGCTTTGTTTGCACCATCACCGACATCACACAAGAGAAGACGGCGGAATTAACGCAGCGTCGCATTGCCCACGAGGCAGAGGACCGCAAGCAACAACAGGAGCGATTTATCGATATGATCAGCCACGAGGTGCGCAACCCGCTATCGGCCATCCTCCACTGCACTGAGGATATCCTGGAGGCTGTTCATTCCCCGGATAGTGGGGAGGAATTGCGGACGCAGATCGCTGAAGCAGCTGATACCATCAGTCTTTGCGTGGCGCACCAGAAGAAGATCATCGACGACGTACTAACCTACTCCAAATTGGATGCTGCCATGCTGACGCTCTCTCCCCGACGCGTGCAACCGCGCCGGAATGTAGCCACCGCACTGGCCATGTTTCGTCCGGAGCTGCGTAAACATGATATCCAATTCACCTACCAGCTGGACCATTCCTACGCCAACTTGGACATTGATTGGGTCATGGCGGATATGGATCGCATGAGCCAGGTCCTCATCAATCTGCTGTCTAACTCCATCAAGTTCACCGCCAATTCGGGCGACGACAAGCGCATCCGCGTCTCCATCGGTGCGTCTACCCAACGGCCATCCTCCTATCCTCCGAACGTGGTTTTCTTCGACTCAGGTGAGGAGGCACTAAAACTGGACGCGACGTCACAACCTGAATGGGGAGCGGGAGAATACGTGTTTCTGATGGTGGCCGTGAAAGACAATGGGATTGGAATCAGTGACGAGGCGCAGAAGAGGTTGTTTGAGCGCTTCAACCAGGCGACTCCGCGCACCCAGACAATATACGGCGGATCGGGATTAGGTCTGAATGTCAGTCGCAAGTTGTGTCATTTGCACGGTGGAGAGATTGGCGTGAGTTCTAAGGAGGGCGAGGGAAGTACGTTTGGATTCTTTTTCACGGTGCGACGCACTGCAGCAGGACCCGGGGAGGACCCTAGCAAGAGCAACGGAACCACAGAAATTGACCGGATGTGCAGCCAGATCCAGGCAATGGGCAACGAGATGAGTGGATTGACCGAGCGTCACGCCCGACCACGCATTCCCGAGAATCCCTCTGTCACTCACGTCCCGGAGATCTCGCGACACGCCAGCCGAGACAGTCGGCGGCTGCATACAGTGAAGATCGCCAGCGGAGTCCCCTCCCCGGCGTCGAGAGGTTCACCTGTGTCAGAGGACGAGGATCATCAGGCCCCCGAAAAGCCGCGAAGTGAACCGCGGTCACACCCGCGCGAACGGCGCATTTTGTTAGTGGAAGACAATGTCATCAACAAACGCATCCTCTCGCGCAAGCTCCAGACCTCCGGTTTTCAGGTCAGCGAAGCGAGTAATGGCCAGGAGGCGGTAGATGCGGTCCAGCAGCAGGGGAGGTTTGACTGTGTACTGATGGATCAGGTCATGCCCATCATGGACGGCACAACGGCTTCACGGGCCATTCGCCAGTTGGATGGACCCAGGGCGCAGGTCCCTATTCTCGGGGTTACAGCCAATGTACGGACGGCTCAGAAGGATGAGATGCTGGCGGCGGGGATGAACGACATTATCTACAAGCCGTATAAGATGCCGGATTTGATCGAGCGGATCAAACAGCTGCAGCAGAAGGGTCAGGAATGACCCGATGGGCCATCTGTGGAACCACACCGTACAACTATGGCGGGTGGTACGGGATCATACGTCTTTGGCAGGAATTGGCATATGGATACTGTGCGAGAAATTATGAGAACCAATCAATCAACGATCGTGATGATTGTCAGCTCATAACGCATTCTCACCCAGAGTTGTACATTGCGTCGCTGTGGCGGGCCTTAGGAAGATTTTATCTTGCAGGGATAGCATCCAGAAAGCACCGCATTTTGAGTCTTCATTAGACGGATCCTGTCAATAGCCTCGATCGTGACACGAGCGAAAAATATGCGTCGCATCCAGAGTGGACAGACGGTTGACAGGGTGACATTCAGTATCCCTGGTCCCTGAGTGCGAGAAGGGAGAACGCCAACGCCGTCACAAAGACAGTGGCAGTCGGTGTCACGAAAAAGACTCTTCTGGTTCTGATGTTGACGCTGGTTCTGCGGAGCGACAAGAGCCAGATGACTGCTTCGTTATCGTTGCTCGGCGCGTCCTTACCATGAAGTGGAAGAATAAGCAGCCAGTTGCTAGGTTGGTGCTTTCTGTTATAACTTCGAATCATGAACGACAGATGAATTGGTGCCCCGTCAATGGAGCTTTTTCTAGTATCATCAATCCAAGCATGGGTACACAACGAGCATAACCGCCGAAGGTTTTACTCCGGACTCCGACGAGGATCGACACCTCCCAGCTCAAGATTAAGTTGGTTGTTCAACCCCGGTATCAAGAACAGTTTGATAGGTCATCGTTCGTTGATCTGCCAGCCATTCGGTCGGCCATGGGATTCGAATGAGTCAGGAGTTCGCTTGCCAGAAGCCAGTGGAACTAGAAAATAATCAACTCATGTATCAACCTTGCACGAGCGAACCTTGTTCCAGTGTGACATAATCCAGCTGGTTCTCCGCAGAATAAATCCAGCGCGAAGCCAATGCAGACCGTTGTGGAGTACTCTACATTTCAAGCATCCTGTGCGGAAGAAGAAACAACATCCACGCCATGGAGAGAGTCAAGTATCGTTGTCGAAGTGTCCACCCTCTTACTTGCAATGCCATGATCTTCACCGGGCTTATTGTGGATGCGCCTCTAGATGAAATCGTGTTGAGGCAGACGGCAGCTCAGCTGGTAAAAGCGTGGCCTGCTCTGGGAGGGCAGCTTTACCGGTCGGTCAGTGATTAGTATCCATCATTGAACCCCGGGCGCAATGACGATTTTCTGAACTTGAGACAGTGCCGCCCGTATGCACTTTCCACTGGCTCGACTGTCGACTTTGCAAGTCGGACGCTTCCCAAAGGTGCAGCATCCTGGAAACATGGCGTGCTCCAGTCTAAAGAATGCAACCAACCGACAATTATTGAGGCCCTCGACCCTGAAGAACTGGATGTTGCTTTTATCTTCAATGTACCTGCCAGACCTGCGAATGTCTTCCTCGTTCGCGTCACGTTTCTCCAGAACGCCACTCTACTTTGCTTCGGCATCAGCCATCATCTGGCCGACGGCACTGCCGCCTACGACGTAATTCGGGCCTATTGTGACCTGCTCGCTGGTCAACCTATCACATCTCCCCTGTTACCACCCGATGCTTCTGGTCACCGGATGTCCGACAGAGTGATACTCAATGACCCGCAGGAATTGTTGGTTCGATCCATAACCTATGCCGAGCATCTGGCCAACTTCACCTTTGGGTTCTGGCCGACTCTACTACTGATAGCCAGAGTAGTCTGGTGTCTACTGCTGCGCAAGCTACGTCTGCAGGAAACCTTGGAGGAACGGTACATTTACCTGCCAAATGACTGGGTAGGCGCCGTGCACAAACGAGCACTCGACGCTTTCGCCGCCATGCCTGTTGGTGCCCAGCCGACCAGGAACAACGTCATCAATGCCTGGTTTCTAAAAACTGTCTATTGTACTTTTCCGAGCAGTCGAGCTGAGATGTATTTCTATGGTCCGCTCAGCTATCGGCGTGTGGTTGAACCTGCCCAGCCAGGGACCTACTGGATTCATAACAGCATCGGACTACTGCGGCAAAAGCTGTCAGTGTCTCAGATCCAGAATGAGCCCGTAGCCATCCTGGCGGGTGAACTTCGTTTGGCCAGCTTGCGATACACCTCTCCGGCGTCCATCAAGGCGTTCCTGCGGGTGTGCGAGGATCATGCGTTACAACGGATGTTGCCGAAAATTCCCGCGAACGGAAGGATGCCGATGGTTATGATCACCACGTGGACAAGTTTCGATTTCGCATGCCTCGACTTTTCTAGAGCTGCATGCGATCAGAGCAAACCGGTCAGAGTTCTCTTCGTGCACCCCCTTGTTCGGAGCCTGCGACAGGGAGTGTGGCCGTCTGCATATACGCTGAAAGGTGCACAGAAAGGTGGGTATTGGCTGCGAGCCTGGAATACTCCGTCTGGATGGAAGAGGATCAGTCAAATGGTTAATGTTGATACTCTATAATGTTTCAGCCGGATCGAATCTATGTGAGGTAGACAGGTATCGCCCCTAGAGATCCATAGTTGAGTGTAATATACCCCTTTCACAAATGAGAGAATATGTTATCGTGGGACAAGATGTAGAATCAACTCCCCGTAATCATTCCTGTTTTATGCCCCTGCAATCCAAGCAGTAGGGTATAGGTTTACTCTGTCCGCAGAGCGTGCCATTCCTTTTGCGAAAGTGACATTCGGTGGCTGGTCGAGGAAGCGGGCACTAGTAGCTACTAGTGGTCAAGTGGCCGCCGACCGAGGGACAGGGATTCTTGGTACAAGTATGCACCAAGATACCAATGGGTTGACGCCTGCATCGGACTACTATCGTTTGCTCCCAGCTGGGTTGTCTTCTCCGCAGGGCCCTCCAACCCCAATCGGGAAATAGTTGTCGCTGCGTGGAGTGGACAAACATTCCGTGTCAGACTCCATTCCCCCGAGAACATTTTATGAGGAAGAAATATACGCCATGTACTCGAGAGGAATTTCAATCAATTGTACATATGCTAAACGATGAACAACACTCTTCTCTACTATAATTGCAACAAACCATGACATCCACGGAATCTACAGCGAGGAACCCGCCGGTGGCCGCTTGCTGGGGAATCCGCCATTGGGATGAATGATAACCTTGGTATAGCCGTCCACACGCTTGTCGAATTTGTCGTATGCCGTCTCTGCCTCTTCAATTCCAATCTCATGAGACACCACGAAGCTGGGGCGCGCCTTGCCGGCAATGATCAGGTCTCGTAGCTGCCGGTTGTAGGCCTTGACGTTACACTGGCCCGTGCCGAGGGAGAGTCCCTACTCACAATGTCAGCATCAGTGAATCCTATCCCAAAAGAGTAGGCATCTACTATACCTTCTCGAAGAGCTTGCCAAAGCTGAGGCTAATCATCCCCTTCGCAGCCGATGCATCACCCGCACCGGGGTCACTGGTCAGTCGTCAGCCAACATACTCCGTCGCAGTGCGATGCGGGGGTGACAAACCTAGGAACATAGAGTCCGGGAATACCCAGTCCACCACACGCGCGAGTCACGCGAATCATGTTCTCGAGCACGATGTTCGGCTGCTCGGTCGAGTTATCTTTACCGACAGCTTGGTATCCAACAGCATCCACGGACCGATCCACCATATCTCCGTTGTGTGCAATGATCTGATCGACGGCATCGCCCGCGGTAAAATCAATGGGGGTAGCACCGATCCGCTCCGCTGCCCTCAATCGTTCGGGAACCCGATCTACCACGTACACGCGAGATGCACCGCGCAGCTGGGCGGAGTATGCTGCCATGAGACCAACGGGACCGGCCCCGAAGACTGCTACGCTGTCACCTGGCTGAAAGCCCGATATTTCGATGCCGTGCCATCCTACTCATATTAGCAGATGTAGTCTGGGGGGTGGGATCAACGGGCTTCGTGGAGGAATATACCTGTGGGGAAAATATCTGGTATGCCTATTAGTCAACCGATCAACCAAGAGTGAGAGCATCGACTGCCTACCTGCCAGCAGAATAAAGTCCGCTTCGTGTTCGGTTCCTGGGGGGAGCTTCAGGGCATTGAAATCAGCGTAGGGAACCCGCAGGTACTGTGCCTGGCCTGATGGTTCACTCGGTTAGCTTGAGGCTGTCTAACAGTAAGGGGGTCACACAGACCTCCACGGTAGGGTCCCATAGCCACGTATCCTGTGGAATTCGATGTCAACGCGAAGCCACGCACAGCGCTCACTCAGAAGAAACGAACCGTATGCGCCACCAGCAAAGCCAGGATTCACACCTGTGCAAAACGCTGTCTTCCCTTCCTCACAGTTCCGACAACGACCATCCGCAACGTTGAATGGCATGACCACACGGTCGCCCTTCTTCAGTAGGGTGACTCCTTCCCCGAGTTCTTCGACAAGACCGAGATTCTCGTGTCCTAGATTGTTCCATCCACGTCAGAATGGGCAGAGATGCAAAAGTAAGGTGAATTGTACCAAAAGTGATGCCTGGCTCTGCCGCCGTCCTTCCTTCGTACATACTGGGGATGTGTGAGCAACATCTGTGTACGAACTCTCTTCTACCCTACTCCCCAATTGCACTCACTGCAGATCAGAACCACAGATGGCTGCCTGTTATGGCTGTCAGTAACTGGGCGGAAATTGTGCTAGTCTACATAACATACACTGGTAACCTTGACGATAATGTCATCGGGGTGCTCCAGCTTGGGCCGCTCCACCTCTTGCACCTTGACCGTGAATGGCCCGACATAGTTCAATGCCTTCATGGATTGGACTGCCATTTTTGCTCAGATTGATGAATCAAATCCGTCAAAGACAATGGTAATTGCAGTGATGTTTGCTAAATGCCGGCCATTCTACATATTTATGGGGGGTATAAATCAATCGAGGAGTGGGGTGAGGGGAACGACATGAGGAGTGGGGGGAAAAGGTGGGGGAGGGGCGAGACGTAAAGACCAGCGGACCGCGTCTGGCTTGTCGATGCCGACCGGGTGCGGAACAGAATTCCCAGGCCGAACATTGAACCGGCTTTAGATGGCCAGAGCAAGTTGATGTTGTGATCCATGATGCTGTAGCCGTCCTTCTCTGGGCAACCGGGGAGGAAATGGCCGTAGTAGGAGAACTCCTCCGCGGGCACATCCTCGACGCTAACCCGGAGGGGACTAGTCGCTCTGCCATCAATTGGGGAAAGTGGAGCGGCCATGGCGGGTTAAATTTCCCGATCAGTGATATCCCCTGCTGGGAAAGCATCAAAGGAATTCAGAGTCACTTCCCAAGGGCAGATCACGATGGCGACATCTGCGGAGTCCTCCAAAGTATGGCCTTTGGTGATAGGGCAAAGCGTCATGGATCGGCTCTTTGTCATCCATATCCACCCGATTTATAGCCCCGCTATCTCCTCGCAGCCTGCCAGACAAGCTCGTAGCAAGCAAGCAAGCAATTGTTGCGTGCGTACCCTTCAGGAGACCAGCCAAATCCCTAAGGAGCTTGCACCTTCGTAATTCTCAGTCATGGTTGTTATCTCACGTTTCAGATCCCTCTGGGGCATTGATCCCGGTCCGGAGCAGTCGGAATGGAGAAAGAAGTTGGTTGAGTTCAAGGCTCACGGCTACGGTAAGCTAGCGCCTGCACTGCAATTCCCCCAAAGGCTAAACTAACGAGTTATCCTAATAGCTGGAATCGAGATTGATTTTGCTTTTATGACACCCGAGGAACTGCAGCTTCTCCGCAAGAACTGTGATGAGGTGGGACTGGAAATTAGCATTCTGTCAGTATCTCGACTATAATGTAGTAGCTGCCCATTGGAACGGCAATTGAGCTGATTGCTTTGCAGCCTCTTCTCCGCATGGCCAAAATATGTCGGCCCCCGCCCTCGTGGCTTGACCCCAGATGCTCACCTCGAGTTCTACCGAGGACAACTTCGCCTAGCGACCATCTTGAAGCCAGTGGTTATCAATGCACAATCCGGAGCGTACGTCCCCTCCACTCCGGGTATACCACGATTAAGATGTTGACTCGCTATCTTCCTCAGAGACTACTGGAGCTTTGATGAATCTGTCTACTTCTACCAAAGAGCTCTTCAGGTAGAAAAGGAAGAGGGTTTCGAGGGCATAGTCTGCCACGAAACGCACCGAAACAGATCTCTCTTCAACCCTTATTCGGCCGACTACATTCTACAGAGAGTCCCAGAGTACGTAAATTTGGTTATGGGTCATCCCCAGTTCGATACTGATTACGCAGGTTACGTATCACTGCCGACATCTCACATTGGGTGGTCGTCTGCGAGAGACTCCTAGATCAAGGCGAAGAAGACCGTGAGATCCTCGACCGCGTGATCCCACGTGTAAGGATGCCCCTCGTTCGAACAGAAGCAGTACAGAATCAATGATTGACATATCTATTAGGTCGGCCATATCCATGCACGTATGGGAACACAGCAGTCGTCACAGTGCCCAGAGCCTCTAAACCCTGCATTTGCTCCCGAGCGGCAATTCTTTGAGGAACTGTGGCTCCGAATCATCAAGTCAAGACAGCAAAAAGATCCGAACTGCCGGATCACATGGGTTCCGGAGTACGGGTGAGTAGCGATTAATCCGTGGTTGTTGAGCATCCTAACATTATACACAGTCCATTCCCATATCATCCAATCGGAACTGCTCACACCTACGAGGAGCTGGCGGACAGTGAAGGGAAACGACTGCAAGCGCTGTTTGAGTCGGCTGTTGCGCAGTCATAATATGTGATGATCATTTAGTCGGGAACATAGATACTACTGGAATAGACAACAGCTAGACTACGGCTGTGTACTGATCCCAGACTTCTGCAGTCAAACTAGTAGATCAATATATACTACTGTTCTAAGAAGACGAACATGCTATCAACGATAACCCGCGTTATATTCGCTCGCCGGTGCATATATAATAGGGTGTTAATTGAGGCTGTGGTAACGCCTTTGCTTCTCTTTTTTCTTGCACCCTGATGTTGGTTTTCTTTCGACGACTGACGCAACATACTCAATCCTAGAAGGCACCGAGAACATCCAGCAGAGGATGATTATTCTTCCTTCTAATACATTTTAAATGAGATATGAATATATGTAAAGATAGTTTTATGGATGATATGGCTATAATAGATGTCTTTCGGAAACGTGGTAAAGATATCGACATGATGTGTTGTCATCAGACATGCTAAAGCTCAGGGTTCAGTACCCAAGGAATGGTTTTCATCGACTAATAGTTATTCTTTAATACAAATTTCAGAAAGTTCAAGCTGTCGACGAAGGCACATCGCTACAGAAATTACACGTATTCATCCAAAAGGGGTAGCCGAGCGCCACGCAAGCTAACGCAGTGAGGGAGTGAGTATGAATTATTGAATAATCAACGCCTTGTCTCTATTCCGGATAGCAAAGGATTTATAGCTCCTCGACTAGTGTGATCTTTGGATAATCCCAATCGTGCTCCCTCAGCTTGAACTTGGTTTCATAGGTGCACAATCAGACATCTCAACCAGCCATTAGACCCTATATGTTGAATATATCCGATGACTGCGCCTTCCTTGACGTGTGAAAGAACCAATTGAAAGCGTAAGGATGGGAAGTCCATTCTGTTAACAAGGGGGCTCTCTTGTAAAACGTGGAATCCTTGCTACTATCAATAATGGAACTCTGGGTCGACCCTCACATTGTGGAGTGCCCTACAAACCGTCCAGAGAAAGCAATGCACATCGACTGGTAACTACGTCAGTGGTTAACAGACCAACCAGCCCAATAGACACGAAGATATCATGTAGCCGCGTCTGCAGGATGTCTACTAGTTATCCAGTAGCGTTAGAAGCTGTGTTACATACATAACCAACCAGTGGGGTTGAGGGAGTTCATTTGTCATAAAGCTAGTGGGAATAAGCAATGAAGGTCTCAACGATATCTAGGCCAACAGCTACTCCGCGGTGGTCGAGGCGTCTGGAATGCCGTTAGCAGGCGTACCGACTCTTGGATATCTGTAGAGTTTTGTCACGTCTTCTTGCTCAGACGTATGACTTCCTACTTATTTGCTTTACGAACCATCGGTATACTTCATAGTCTTAGATGCATGAGATGAGTAGGTGAGATTACCTTAATGCTACAAAGAAACACGAAGGGATTTTCCTATTGGATCAATTCATATATAACTTTCACTCCGGCTCGCAATCCCTGGCGGTATGGACAAGCGAGGTAACCCCTGATGATTCCGATGGACCTTCAACACCTGCATTCAGAGAGGTGTCGAACGTAATCAAAAGACTCTATGGTCAATCTCACAAACAGTTCATAAGTGCATAATGGATGTACAAAGGTCTGCTTCGTAGTTCACAGCGGTTTTTGAACCACGGGAAAACCAAGCATGAATACCGGGGCAACAATCCTGTCACGACGCATTCACGGACAATCATTACAATTTTTAGAGAGAAGGTCCGAAGTCAGCTCGAAAGGTTGCATGCCCGAGCGATCCGGTAAAAGATACGCTTTTTGCCCCAGAGTTTTCAAATCAAGACTTCCATTCAAAAGGCAGGGGAAGGGAAATTAACAATGCCCGATCATCCTATTCTGCAGCCACACTATAAGCTTAGTGCAGAATGCACGACGCCCCGATAGAGCTACAAAACATCAAGCATTCGTGAATGCAAACTGGTGCACCCGACAGGAACGACAATCTACTTCAAAGAGGTCTTGTTTCATTACCTCCGAGATCCCGAATGAATTGAGTTTTGGGAATCGTTTTTTTGGTAGACCCTGAGTCTGGGCATAGCGGCTATAACCGGCTCAAGCTACAGCACAAGATCGAGTGGGGGATCGGCGTTTCATAGCATTATAAGCTGTATCCGCTCGACTGTATACAGCGCAGAGACCTAGGTGACCCTCACATTTTAGACTTCCCAATCAGATTTGTAACTCACATTGCTAATCTTGACAATTAGTTCTCTGCGGGATGCTACCGAGCAAAACCTGTGACCAGATGCACCTGTTCTGCTGCTCTGAAGAAGATACTCCGAGCCGATGCTTTGTAACCGCACAATACCTGCAGGCGAATAATTAGCGCGCAATTGGATATGGGCTGATTGGCTGATGCATTAATTGATGCATTAATTTGCCAGACGCTAGAAGGGCTTGTTGGGCTGGACAGGGGAGCTCCTGTTCATGCACGCGTTCAAGATGTGATCGGAGATTGCAGCATGCTGTGGGTTTGGGGGGGACATGGAGACCGACATTTCCACCATTCTGGGAAGGCGACCTTCAGAGCTACAATACTTCATGGCTCTATCACTTTTTTTATGATGAGACCGAGAAATACGACGAGGATTGATTTTTCCATAGAAAACAAGACCCAACATGGACAGAAACAGAACATGACAGCTAACAAATGTTTCAGCGCTCCTGGGCGATGATCAGCGGCGGTTAGATCCGCGAGATCTGCAATTATAGTGGAAACTGTAAGGATAGAATCACATAGCCATGGTCAGGATTTTGGTCCGGCCACCCGAGAGACATGCCCCGGTCAGCACTAATACATACAAACTGCAATATTCAGAGGTCAGGCATATTAGGCGCAAATCTTCTAGTTATAAATTGTGACGCAAGTCCGCTTATCGTTTGATTCCGCCAGATCAATCAATCTCTCATCACAACGCCGCCTTGTTCATTACCTTCACCATGCGATTCCTACAAACCGCTCTTGTGGCTGCAAGCATTGCTCTATATTCACCTACCCTGGCCCAAGAGTTTTCCGGTCAGGGGTACACTCAGGTGGCCTCTGAAAATGGAGTGGAGTATCTTGGATGCCTCACCAATAGCGGTCAGTGGGATCTTTCTGCCTGTGCCGGGGTCACAGCCCGTGGAGGGGGTCAGCTGGTTACCCAACAAGGAAACTACTACACTCTCACCGAAGCGTTAGACATCACTGTGACTCCGGACGCTGGAGATGCCAAATACTGGTCTAGCACGGGCTACAATTCTTTTGTAAGTACATGAGTAATTTACACAACAGGGCTTGTACTTATAATGTCTCTTGCAGGGCGAGCCAAGCAACCTTGAAGCTGATGGTGGTGTTGAACACAATGGGGGAGGCGGCCCGTACTGGTATGCGGCCGCTGAGCCTACCGAAGGCGCCCCCGTTACCCTGAGTGCGGAAGAATCGGATGGGGCTCAGCGTGTAGTCCTCGTCTGGAAGTCATATTATTAGAGGTATTGCTCAGAGGGCGCTTATATCGAGTCTATACTACTTTTCTATCTGCAAAAGCTGGTCAGAGAAAGCTGGCAGACCTGTTTCAGAATCTGGTAGAGTTGAGGCGGACTGTGACATGGCATCTCATTATGGCTTCTTCAATGTCTATGTGTAGTCGACCCTGCAATTGCCGGTGTCAGCTTAACCCTGTTTTGTACAAAGCATGTCAGACCTACCATCCCATATGCTAAATATACGCTGCAATGCTCTGGTCTTCTTTGGGGCATCAAGTCCACTGGTTTTGGTTAAAGGACAGGCTACCATGCCTGTAACTATACACTTTCTGGTGATAGTCAGGGACTCTAAATAGCCACGAATTCCACTCTTTGAGAGTGTGAACAATATCGCATGTAATGGGCCTAGAGTATGAATTGTCGTAGTATGAATATGAGGCTCACCAAGTCCTCCAATGGAGTTACACGGCATTACAGGATAGACTTCATGGGGCCGGGATCTTTCCGCGGCATTCATCTCTGGAGTTGTGAATGGTTGGTCAAACAAAACGAACCTGTGTTGCCTTTCAGATTAGTGGCCAGATGCGTTGATTACCTGGCTCAAAGGAATGTCTAATGTGAATGAGCTTCTTAATCAAGAAAAGTCCTGTGTCTTAGCATGGCTTTGTAATCATTATATATCATCGTCTACGTAAATTGCCATAAGTAGTTCTCCTGGAAAAGCTGTGTCCTCGTTGAATGACGTAACACATTTCAATAATATGGGAACACTTCTGACCCAAATCGTTAAAATGAGAATCTTGAATTGCGAAATAAAATAACAATAAAAGCTAAGTGAAAGCAGGGTGACTTACGCAGGTCTCGCGTAGCTGGAGGACCCACTCTTTTAGTGCGGAGTCTTGTGGAATCATCTTATCTTCGGCCTATCAGAAGCCTTCATATTCTCTAAGAGTATGGCCGAAATACCCATCAGTTTTCAGAAAATAAAGCCTATGATATCTGCAGATCTTGGCTTTAGATCTAAGTTGCAAGAATGTGATATTCTTGATATTTTATCTCTTGGCTTAATTTCTTATCCTCAAATTCTTTTCACCCTAAATCCGACTTCCAAGAATTTTTTCTCGAACCTCCGTACTTCCACGGGTTTACGTAAAAGAATCAGCCAGTGGGGACATCGCAAACATCGCGCCTTTTAGCAAGAATAGAAGGGCGAGGAATACGAGGAGGCTTGCTTGGCAATTTATCGGAGATAGGAACAGTCGAAGCCTCGAAGGAGTAGACTACCTGGTTAGGAATATGGATCTGATAAGATCTAGCTGAGTGGTGAAAGACGCATCAGCCCTGTCTTGGCATTCGGTCCTACGAAGTAAGAGCTTGTAAAGATAGATATGACCTCCTACATCCCACCGCAACTATAAAGTCGCGATTCTTCCCTACATCATGGCAGACCAACACACCATCTACTTACACTTCAACGATCCTTGAGACCCAAAAACTTTGACTCTCATCCAACATGCAGTTCAAGGTTGATAACATCCCTTCCCTCCGATGTCCGATAACCCAGTCTGACCATGCCAGATCCTTGCGCTTTCCGCTTTTGTGGCCACTGCTGCTGCCACCCTTGACGTCGCCTTCAGCGGCTACTACTACGCCGACTGCGTCTCCCCCAGCATTGAGGCCGCCAACGTCATCTCTGGTGCCTGTGGACCTGCCAACGGCCTCCCTCTCAAATCTTTCTCCGCGCGCATCTACTCTGGCTCCTGCGATGCTGGCACATCACCTATCTTGAAGATGTACACCTCCACGGGCTGCACCGATGAGTCATTGTACGGCGAATACGAGATCACCAGCGATACTCAATGCTTCGCGGTGGATGCAACATTCCTGAGCAATGAGGTTGTTTGTGAGTAATGGAACCATAGTGAGCAAGATGCTCGATAAATGTATCTAGTTTTCCAATCCAAGTACGAAGTTGAGAGTCCTGTGCATCCTCTGCCAGCACGGGGATATTTGCCAATCATATTTCGGCTGTGAGGGACGATGTAGTAGTCTACGTAGTGTAAAAATAGAGTTAGTCAATTGGGTCGAGTAGGAGACTGGAAGGCCGCAGCTCTATGAAGAGGTGCAATTAATCTACCATATATGATAGGAAGAAGTGGGTTCTCAATAAAGGCCAAATTAGGTGATCAATCAGAGGCAGTCATGAAGGCATGAATGTCTGGTGCACGCGAAATCAATGGGATCGGGTGAGCTTTCCATGGCAGCGACTTCATGAACATCATCCATTGAGTTCAGCCCGGGACATAAGCGAAAGAAGTGATGTCACGGAGTGACTGGGCGTAAGGAACATACTGGATCTATAATACCGACTCTTTAATACTGGATGTCATGCTGTCTTTGAAGCGTTGAGCAAGATCTTGAATTACGATCAGTAACCATAGAAGTCATATAATTGTCTACTATGACGTAATCATTGGGGCAATGGCGCATCTGGGAGCGCGTCAGACTGAAGATCTGGAGGTGGCCGGTTCAAGCCCGGCTTGCCCCATTCCCTTTTTGAACTCTTTTTTCGACCTTCATTTTTGCGATAGAGCTCTACGTAATTTCTGATTATATCTTCATGAGGGAACAAAATCAATTGTACACAGCAGACTCAGGTAATAGCTAGATAGGCATGGAAACATATGTTGATGAGCCAAACTTTCATCCGATGGCTCGGGTTGATGTTGCTACAGAGCCTCGTGGTCTGAACTTGAAATATATTCTGACACAAACTCGTACTACCCACCCTTTTATCGCCGTATATGTAACCTATTTAGTAGTATGCATTGTGGCCCCGAGAATTTGTTCCAGCTCCATCCATCTCTTCTGTCATCTGAGAGCTTCCTACTGATACAAATAATAAGGAAGTATCATATCCAGGCTCCACTCCAGACATGAGAGTAAACTATGTGACAGGGAAGACGGAGGCATTGCAAGACGCTGAAAGAACGCCATATAGTAAGTCCACACTTGGGGATTTACTTCGTAACAGTGTGGTTTACGGAAATAGTACGTGTTGAGGATAGGTCGAAATGCAGTGTTCCCCGTCAGAATGCGCGGATGTGATGAAGCAAATGGAAACCATATCATTCCTTTTGTCCATTTTGGGCCGAGTTGGGCCGAACTCGAACTGTAAAGCGAAATGACAAACCGATCGTCGGACGAGATCCAGATGAGCCCGTGTCACTTTGCCGTTTTGGGACATTCATCGGCCGAATGCTGAGTCATCCATAGCTGACTCAGCTATAGTTTGTCAGCCCTGCAGTGCCAACCCAGGTAAACAAGGGAGAGCGTGACATGTAATAGCTATATTAACGACCCTCAGTCCCAGCTGGGTCTCCTTTCGGGGGCAGCTGTGATATCCTCTTGTCTGTTAGCATCTATCTTTTTGGTGGTTTCTCTTTCCATTGTTCCCGCCTCTCCCGCTTTCGGCTGTACCATATAATCTTTGCCCGTCGCATCCAACTATTATCTTGTATCCGTCCTAGGGCTACTACCGGCCGTCGCCACAACCACGATGGTCAAGTTCTTTCAGCCACAGCCAAAGATCGATCCCTTGCCTACAGGAATTGACCTGACTGGCAAGACCGCGGTCATCACTGGTGCTAGTGCAGGTATGGGTCTTGAAGTCACCAAGCAGCTTTTGCGCTTGCGCCTCTCCACCGCCATCCTCGCCGTGCGCAATGTCTCCAAAGGCGAAGCTTGCATCGAATCGCTGCTGCAAGACCGCAGCATTCAAGCCCACAACCCAAAGCCCACCATGAAGGTCATGGAGCTTGACATGGATCGCTATGATAGCGTGCAGCAATTCGCAAAAACTCTCCGCGAAGAGGTTCCGGTGGTTGATCTCCTCATCCTTAATGCGGGAGTTGCTTCTTTAAACTTCGAACGTAGCCCAAGTGGCCACGAGAGGGTGACCCAAGTGAACTACTGCTCCAACGCGCTGCTGGTTGCCGAGCTTCTTCCTCACCTGGAAGCTGGTGCGGAGCAGACCGGCTCCCCTGCCCGGATCAGCTGGGTAGGCAGTCGCTCGCACGAGTCACCCAGTTTCGAGAAAAAGGCCCCCATTGAAGCCGACGAGGGGGTTTTGGAGCATATGGACAAGGAGGAAGCCTTTGCTCCTTTTCAACGGTATAATGACACCAAGTTACTCTGTGTGCTGTTCATGTACAGCTTGGCTCCGCGCCTGGACCCCAAAAAGGTCATCATTAATATGATGTGTCCGGCTATGGTAAACACTGGGATGAGCAACATGCTTCCACTGCACCTGCGCTTGTTTTTCAACGTCATCAAGGCTATTCGCGCCCGACCCGTTGAGGTAGGGGGTTGGGTTATCCTGAACGCTGCGATCGTAGCAGGCCCAGAGTCCCATGGGAAGTTTTTAGCGGATAAGGTTATCACCGAGTAAGTCCTGCTTCTGCTTAGTCTACCATAGGCTCCACCACCTGACTTTATTTCTCTTTCAGTAAACCTGCAATCGTTACCTCTCCAATGGGTCAGGAGATTCGGACCAAGCTTTGGGAAGAAACAGTCACCGAACTGAGCAAGTTGACCACTCTTCCTCCCCAGTTTCACTAGACTGAACTGGTTAACATTCCATGACGTCGCACCATGTTGCTGCTGCTTGTTCGAAACTCTTTGGATACCACTTTGCCTCCTTGGAGCCTCTTCTTGTTTCTTTAGTCCCCTCGACAGTTGCCGTGGTTTTTGTATCTTCCCGTGTCTCTACCATTCGCCGACCAGTACGAGTGGTACTGTAATGTTCATTATCGCGGCGGGACATTGCCTATCCTTGTGACACGCGCAGCAAATCTTCTTCTTGAAGCTAAATTGAAAACGTAACCCTGAAACTTTATGAGTAAGCTAGAAGCTTCTATTTTCATATGATGTTGTGGCAATGAATGGAACATGCAGTTACTGGTGAAGAGGAACGGGTTTGCGAAGAGGGGACATGTGTTATACGGTGGTGATTTCCCCTATGCATCGCTGGCTATCAAAAACTATTTCTGCGGATAATGGAAGTGATCTTGACTAAGGACACGGAGGTGCAAAAGGTTATTGCAGGCGTTTCGGCTGTGAAACCTTTTCCGCAATTCCGAATGCCCACTGACTTCTGATGTGTTGCGAAGAACAAGATTGATGTCTTTTTTAGGTCTGCTTATTGCTTCCCCGTTGGTTCGTCCAGTTTCTAGTCTGTATATCTGTCCTGTCTTCGCATAGCAGTTACTTAACAGCTAAACGTAAATTCTGTATGTTAATTATTGAATTGCTTTTTCTAATCGTCTATCTATTGTTTCTCCCCTTTCTCTCTTTTTGGCCGATCGAACGGGCTGGTAATTGGCACAGATAATTGCCCCCCGCCCACCCGTTTTTATTCCTGTCCTTTCACCTCAGCGATGATAAGCAGACATCCAAACTTGTTGAATCAATCCTCAGTGAGTATTAAGCAGAAAGGCGCTTGTTCAACTGACTGCATTAGCCACATGTGCGCTTTTGCTGGTAGTTCTCCGCGCCACCTTCAATAGTTGGAGACTACAGCGAAAGCTACTGCCTGATATGTGCTGACATATGTGGTCCCCAACCTGGGAGGACTTTCCTCGTCTGCCTTACATTAACATGGTTGTCAAAAAACAATGCGCTGGCGACCCGTTACACCCTTGGCCTTTCCGCACGCCCTTAGTAAGGATGACTGGGTGAATGACTACTTCCTCCCAAAAGGAGCCACCGTCTCTCTTAACGTCTGATGCCTACATCATGACGAAAATGTCTTTCCAAACCCCGACCAGTTTGACCCTTCGCAGTTTGAGGGCCGGCATAAGCTGGCATTTGACTATGCCGCTTCTTCCGAGTACATGCAGCGTGATCATTATGTCTACGGTGCCGGACGACGTCTGTGTCCAGGAATCCATCTGTCCGAACGTAGCATGTTCCTTGGTGCTGCAAGGCTTCTTTGGGCATTCAATTTCGAGCCGGCGCAGGATGAAAAGGGCAATCCCATCCCCATGGACACAGACCCGACCACCGGCTACACCGAAGGTTTCCTTGTCTGCCCGCAACTACATAAACGCATTGTTGCGCCGCGACTAGCTACTCATACAGATACAGTTCTTAGAGAATTTGCCCGGGCCGAATCCGACGTTCTCTCTCAATATGCGACTCCATAGGCGTTTCACACCACACTCGTGCGAGCATTCACTGAAACCGCTTCTATGAGCCTGCTCGTATTCACCTGAGGTTATGACTACTTCTTCATTTTCTCAGTGCAGCTTTGCTGCTATAGGAGTTGCCTGGCAGATGCTTGAAGTAACGGGTGACAACATAAGGAGAGAAGGTCTAACCCGACGTGAAACGTAAGCAGCTATTCAAGCGACCAATCTAGAGGCTCCCGTCAAGATATCCCGTTCCAGTCGCTGCGTTGAAATTTCTTTCGCTTCCATATCTTTAGCAAACGCTGATCGGTCGATTTATGCAATGGGGTTGAAGGTTCGTTGGGTTGATTTGCAGTAACTGACGCTAGAATATGCATGGGGTCAATAGCGTTGTTTCTTCTGCCAATATCAAGGCTTGGACCTTTTGTATCAATTTATTATCTGTCCAATATATGTCGAATGCGAAGTAGCTAGATCTTTCCTTGCTTAGTCAGCATGGCATTCTCAAAAGCTACATCTGCTAGTATGACATTCATATCCATCAGTACTTCCAGACATCATTCCAGCTCAGAAGGTCCCATTGCTTAATCTTCACATCGCAGGTATGATAGCGGAACGTTGACTTAATGCTTTGTATTCTTCATTCCATTGGCGTGGTAGCTTCATTTTCGCCGTTGTGGCGCAAGGAAAAAGAGAGATCAAGGATTTAAAAAATTAAGTGCGGGGTAATTGTAAGGTGATCAACATGATATTACTAGCCAGCTAAGCAATATCTCTATATCTAGAGGGGACGACTGTGAGATACTTCCACTCCTAGCACAATTAAATGGTGTGGAACGATTGTGTTCGGATGTGCTAGGGTATCATTTGGGTCTAGCCAACGAGGATGACCATGACTCGAAATCAGTGAGACTGGTAAGAACGTCCAGGTCCAAGCCACTGTCGTCTTCTGCGACAAATATGCTACTCGTTAGTCCAGGCCTGGTGCCGGAAGGCGTTTGGGGTGCAGTAGCCGTAGACGGGGCCCTTTCATTGCAATGGATGTGGATTGTGGACGACGAAAACGATGAATATGGCAAAGGAAAGATGCTCTTGTTCACTGTGTCCTTCTCAGTACTCCGACTTCCAGGTTCAAGGGCGTATGGGGAAAGCCGACATTTGTTTTCGTCCAGCTTGTCAATGATTCGGGTATCGGATTTCATTTGTGAATCCAGACGACTCTTAAGGTCAACGAGAACCTGTACAGCGAGAGGAATTCGCGCCTCTGATGAACCCTCACCACAGTCCGGGTTGTCCGCACGAGGTACTCCGGACGAACCTTGCGGATCTTGGTAGTATGAAACAGTGTGGTCGATAATTTCTTCGATGCAATATCGAGCCAGCACGATGTCTCCTGATTCCGGAAAGCAATGTAGGTAGACGAGGATAAGAAACACACATTGAAGAGGGCCGTGATATCGGTAGCAAAACCATACGTAAGGGGAGTAGGCAGGGGTTTGATAGAGCTGCAGGAACATACGCAAGTAGCTCACGCAGAGGTGTGCTACACTGGAGATACATTGATTGTCAATACAACTGTCGGACCAGATCGTAATGATATCAGGGAATCATACCTGGTCCATGCCCTGCATGATTCCGGATCCGCACTGTCCGGGGCAGGTAAGAACGGCTTTTGTAGAATTACAGCTGTCTCAAATTTGATCAATATCAGCATTATTCTTGTCCAAGCCGCGAAAACAGTAGGATGAGTGCCATCATCTTTATAAAGTGTTCGGTGTGTGATCGGAGATGCTTTGGCTAGCCGGGAGGGAATGAATCCCTTTTCAGGAATCCCTTGTGAAGGAACACGGGCAACAAGTTTATCGATCTTTTGTTGAAGATCTTTCACCAGCATCACAAGTTCAGTAAATTCGGTCTGGTTTAGGTGTCGTCCATTTTGCAGGCGCGAAATGATCTTTGACTGCACACGCGCTGTTACAGATCGCGCTATGGCGAGTATAACGGCTATGGACTGTTCCGCTGGACCGGGGACTAGATCTGGGGAAAAATGACTAGACATGTCACTAATATCTTCATCGCGTGTATCAGCTATCATGCTGACGATGTCCAGCGTCTCGGGGGCGCAACAAGGGGGTAGGCCTGTGCATATGCTAGACTGGACGTCAAGCCCAATAATATACCACCATACCCGACGACGGATTTCCTGATCAACGGGACTCAATGAGGATGACCAAGATCCTTCCATATGCAATCCCATGCTCTGGGCAATGCGAATTGTTGTGCTGATAGAGACCATATTGCGCATTGGCTCAACATCTCGGTCCAAGAATGGTGCAGTCAGCAGCGTAGACACTAGCGTGTTCAATGTTGGATGGTCGAGATGCTGGCATAGAGACATACTTGTCGTATAGGCCGACTTCAAGTGGGCTATCGTCGTTTCCCTCCGCAAACTCTGCAGACTGGCGCATGTCCAGCTGGCCGGTGGTGCAGCACACGCGCCAGAATACAGGATGGCAAAGAGAAGGCAGAGAAAGGTTGGGTCATCGCGGACTTTTTCTGGGGGAAGCGCCCTATCGCTATTGCGGCACCAATCCCAAAATCTGTCGTAGTCCGCCCGTAGGGTTGGGCTATGCACCAGAGGGAAAAGAGGCCACACCGCGAAGAAGAATGCATCGAGGAAGGTATCGCTCACGGGCTTCGTAGGTAGGGACCGTAGTAAACTGAACATCCCCAAGGAGGATATATGTTTGAGGGGCCGTTCCGGTGAAGCATCACGATTGCAGTCAAAGAAATCATCACTCATAGATTCCTGCCGGTAGCACAACAATCAAGGTCAGTTCATGCTTGTCCGCCGGATTTCCGCTTACATCGCTGGGCAGTACTAACTTTCCCTGCCACAAATCCCCAAAACGCATGACCAATGTACCGTGCACGTGCGCCCCGTCGTACACTCAGATAGTCAGGACTAACAAGATAATGGTGATTGTTAGAGGCACTGGGCGCTGTAGCGAATGCTGACACCGCAGTGATGGCATGCTGGAAGGCACTTGGCGTCCTGCTCCTTCCTGCCCTAGCAAAGGCCTGATGGTCCTCGGGCAGCTGGATGGCCTCTTCCGAGGAAGGCATTGTCGGATATTGCAAATCAACCTCCTGTTGGCTTGATCGTGGTGCTGGGGTGAGTATGGAGGAAGAAAGGCGTTGATGAGGAGCAGATCTAGCATCGCATATGGGTTCGGTAGGGGGTGTGTGAGGAGGAGGAGGAGGAGGAGGAGGAGGAGCAGTGGAAGAAACGGTGCCACGCGGAAGGGGAGCCTCATCGCTGAGATCTATCACCTTTTCAGAGTCTTGTGACACGCAGTGTGACCAGGTAGAACTTCCTGTTCGCTCCTCCGAATGATTGGCAATGAATTCCTGTTCAATGGAATTCTCACCCTGGGGCACAGGAGGAGACACTCGGCGTACACGACCGGTAAACTTATCGCGGACCAGATTCTCGTAGACACAATTCTCCTTCATCCGGACACAGTTGACGCATTGCGGATGTTCGCGGCCGCAGCGAACTTTGCGACGACGGCAGACAATGCAACTCAATGATAATCGGGGCCTTTTGATCTGGCGGGGTTTAGGTGGCGGCATGGTAATGAATGTCCCTACTAACAAAAGTAGTTGGGATGCAATAATGGTGTTGAATGAGTGTGGCGAGATATATAAAGTACCTATGACTATAGAGAAAGGGACTACCAGCACGACGTATGTTGATGGCAGTACGGAATAAATAGTTACCGCCACGGTCACTAGTTACACTATACTAGGATGATATAGCAAGTGTGAATTTCTGTAGTCGATGGATAGTAGCAAAGATTGTTCTACAGCCAGCTCCACCCGCCTTGTGGCAAGTCAGAATTCGCTGCCTTGTCCAAGTGCCAGGTTGACAGGCATTGAGACGGCAGTGCGGCAAAAGTAAACTGCAGTGAGTGGCATAGGTCAATCTGATGATGAACTGCACGTTGTTGATTTAAGCCCCGGCGTTCGCTGCTGGATTCGCCAGAGTTCTTGATTCTGAGGGTCCAAGGGTAAGCAACGGAATCGGATTAACTCAACCAAGTTGCAGCGCGGCGAGCGAGTTTGTCCGAAGCCAGTTCGATTCGGAGTTCCCGCCAATGACCTGTCTTCCTTTCCTTTTCTCTCTTCTCCTCTTGAACCTTTCCAATCCCGCCCGTACTAAAGCTTGACATTGGACCACATAATACATAATACGGAGTACATACTTGCTGTTTAAGGCTGAAACCCTAGTATCAGGAGGGATTCTGATGTTCAGCCTACTCACGGTTGATTAACTTTGACAGTGGCTTTCACCGGTCGGCTATCCTTCTGTGCTGTAGGCATTCGGTAGACGGCCAATCCCTCCCATTCAAAGATCAGAATGAAGTAGTAGCCACCAAAAAAAAAAAAAAGAAAAAAAGAAAGAAAAAAAGAAAGAAAAAAAGAAAGAAAAAAAGAAAGAAAAAAAAAGGAAAAAAGAAAAAGAAACGAATGTGGAAAACAAGAAAGGGAGGGGGAAAATCAAAGAAGGAAAAAGGATAAAGAAAAAGGTTTACTGCTATTTGATATATATAGTCAAGTGAGTAGGACGCAGTGATCATCTTAATACCTCTATGAACATTCCCTACAGTACGGAATAGCCGGTACTTTATGCTTTGTCGATACAAAGGCTAACTTATCAGGGGAGTTTAAGTACAAGTCGGTTCTCATTGAGTTGGTCGCGTTTCCCGCCGTTTATAGCTGAAGCCTCACAAGAATGATGTCCTGAGAGCGCAGCGCTACTTCAAGACAGCATACTGGGTCCGTGACTGACCAGACTGGGTTATATCTGCTTCAAGGGAACTCGTGCTTCTACGATTGGTCCTTGCCAGATCCGCGAGATACTGCTTTCTCTATAGGCACTCATTAGTATATATAAATCTTAGACTTATATGGACACATCTAGGATTTACCACAAGTAAATACCGGCGTCTATAAATGGAGGTGACGGAAGGGCTTAAAATATCGAAGATACTAAAGCCCGTGCATACTCGACAGAAGGACAATCCTATACGACTCGAGGTTCAACCAAGCCTAAGACACTCGCTTCAACCTCTTCCGTGCAGACCTGCGGAGATAGTATAAAAGCATACACTTGGTGAAAATATTCTTCTCCCTGGGGCAGACGAGCGGTCAGCCTTTCCAACTCATTTCAAGAATAATCTACTGACGCTTTCCAACTTCCTGCACATAGTTACATCCATCAGCATGCTTTTCTCTTGTCACACTTCATATGGTGATGAGTAGATCGTTAGTACAACCCAATATATAAAGCCGAGTCATTTTCGGTTTCTGGCAGCTTCTTTCATCAATACAAAGCACCCCCACAAAATGCAAGAGAACCATCTGCTGCCAAATCGGTTCAAAGAGATTCAGGGTTCCTACTTGTAGTATCATTCTCGAGTACAACTCTACCTAGGCTCTTGCCACCGTGCTGGCGGCCCAGATCATCAGTATTCCTACTAACCAGATAGAAGCGGCAAGTTCTTGTGTAAGCATCAACATGAGATTATGATTCTATCTTTTTCGCCAACATCCCGGGATGGTCTCCGTGTATAGGTGCAAAAGTCTGTAATAAGACCCCCGAGGAAAGAAAGCCTACAAAGATATTTGCCACATTGTACACCACAGGAGATATCGAAAATACAGGATCTGTCCTTATTACGGCAAGCCTGGGATACACAATCCGAATGTTCATACCGTCTATGCCTCTGATGGCTTATTTGGGTACCACTCAGGGTCTGGCGCTACCCAATCACTCGACCACTCGATCGTCTCGAAGCAAGTTGGAACGCGGTCATTGTCGGCGGTATCAAAGAAGCAGAATTTCGTTCCGCCTTTTTTGCCAATGAAGTAGCCTGACGTAGCAGGCTTGTAGCCTTTTTTCTTCATTTCTTCAATGCGCTGATCCATTGTCAAGGTGCCCATGGTATAAGCAATGCTTTGCACTCCCTCTTTGTTGTTGTGCTTGTCCAGGTAATCTTTAATAACAGACTTTCCCTTTTTGTGGTGCATAACCTCGATAACTGGAGCCTTTGGATCGGGGTTATACGCAAAGGCCACGTCTATCTCATATAAATCGGCCCCTGTCTGCTCGTAATATTTCTGATCCGAAACGGTTTTGGAATTAAAGTGATATATCTGGAAAGGTCCCATGCCGACTGTACCTAGCTCGTCGAGGGTCTTTTTGAAATTCGGTGTGGCAATGCATACCTGATTGAGGTTGCCGAGGAAATTTCTTGACATAGCGATGGAGGGGGAGCAGACGGTGAGAGAACCAGATTCTGGACTTTCAGAAGGGAAATCGTTTCTGAGTATATAACTGCAGAGAATTGATTATGTTGATAATTTAACCTAGGTCACTGCGGGGTTCTTTCGATGGTGAATGGTGATAAGAATATATACATCAAAAGGTATCTAGTGGAGATGAGGGCGTCGTAGTAGTCATAGCAATTGTTTTCATCATGACTCCATGTTGTTGGGGTAGAGATAGTATCGATTTAGAGTATCATAATGATGTATTATAATTATATTTCTATCATGATTTTTTACTATGAGGATTGATGAAGAGAAGGAATTTATTGGGGTGTCATAGTAATAGTAGGTCCCGTTTTCAGCGTGTCTCCAAGCTGTTGGAGTGGGTATGATACAGCGTTAAAGAAGCGTGATGTTACTTTTAGTATTTGGCTTTTGACTATGGCTTTCTTACCAAGGAAATAGGTCACGTAGGGCTTTACATAAGCTATCATAATAAAAGTACAACAATTTACATCATGACTTCATGCTTTTGGAGTAAGTTAGTATCCCTTAGTTTTTGTTGGGGTAAAACAGTTGGAGTACATCTGATTAGTTATTTGTCTATCTTAGTAATCCTGACACCCCGCCCCACGTAACATGTCCGACCACTATAACAGGCACTTTAGATAGCATCGACAATTCAATATGGGCTCTAACTTGACGCTCAGCAAACCTCCGGCCAGCAGCTATATGCTCATAATAATGACACATTTCTAAAAACCCAAGACTACTAATACAAGTAGCGACTTACCTTACTACCACTTCTACGGAGTACACGCTCGGCAACAGAAAAGTTACCAAGTAGTTTCACGTCAGTAGAAAGCTGCTCTTGTTATCGAGGATATATCTATGTTCAACTTGATGCAGCATGCATCTCCATGGGGATAGTAAGTAGGGAATAAAATGATTTAACATTGGCTTTCTTCTTATCCAGTGCTACAGGATTTTGTTAACTAGTACCCCTAATTTGGAACCTTCACCTCAGAAGAGTTTCATATTGGCAATGTATGTTATTGCAGGAGGCTCTAAGTTCTCTACTCATCACGGTTTGGTTAATAGCAATATGCGCCCACACACGCCAAGAAAGCTTCAAGTAATGAATGCTATTTGCGTATTCCCCAGCCAGTCTGACGCGGTCAAAGTCGAATTGGCCAGCATGGAAACCATAAATGGGCAAAGGAAGAGCTATAGCGTTGTGTCTGGACTTGGGATCAGCAATCCTGGAGTACGGCTCACCGTGATTGTTGGGGTTTGCGGTGATGTTCCATTCCTAAATAAGGACGTTGAAATCGTCTTGGGAGATGTCATTAACAGAGATAGTGTAGTGGAGTAAGTCTTTGGTAAAGAGTACCATGATGAGGACGCGGGAGACACGCTGAGGAGACCGAATCGGGACTGTATGAGCGCAGTTAATTCATATTTGGACCTCTAAGATGGACAGACCACCGTAAAGTACCCAGGAACTAACAGGAATATTCTTATTTAGGTTCCTTTGTTGATCAGGAGTAACTAGCCGATATCGTCAAGCGGCCATAATCATGGTTACGTGCCAGATGGTAAGCTTTCTAGTGAAAGATTTGTGATGAAAACGGCGGCAGATATAATTTGTCGCCAACGCAATCAAAGAATGTCCTACATCTTCGTTGATACTGGAATATTGCGTACGCGGAGACCGTAGCAGTATCATTTGGTGTGTATGCTTTTTTCGGTCGCGAACAACTAGAAACTCAGCTTGTCTAAGCCCCGCCTCATCAGGGAAGCAGGGAATGACATTCGCATTGCGCATATACTAGGAGACAGATATTCTGGCGACCCGTATGGAACTACAAGCCCAGCTGTGCCGAAGAGACAAAATGACTCCCACCTGCACACCGGTAGCCTGTGGCCTGTGGAATCCAACGATATCCCATAGGACAGACACCCATTTCCCGCAGTTTCCTCTGTGCTTCTTCCTCCTTCTTCTTTCGCTCCTCGATCTCAAACATTTGCCGAACAAGACTCCTAATAAGTTCTTCATATTGACGTCGCTCGTCATCGTCTGGCATCTCTGAGTTGTTGTCCAGTTTCTTTCGCAAAGCCTTTTCCTCATTAATGATCTCCGCATCATGCATGATTTGCGCGTCGTGTTGTTTTCGATCAGCTTGCAGTTGGTCCCAAACCTCGTTAGATACCCCTGGATCGCGAGGCCCATTCAAGTCAGCCTCTGTTGGAGTTGCGGCATCTGAGTCAGTGTCTGGTGGTGTCGACGGGTTATCTTGTTGTTTTGCCCAGGAAGCAGCTGTGAAGGAGGGTGCCGCGTGGTGCGGTCCAGCCATCGCTGGCATGGCAGCGAGGGAAGTCGGCAGATTCGGGACGGTCGCCGTCGCCCGCAGCTGGCGCTCCTGAACTGTGGACTGGAGAACTGCACTGACCATTTCTTCAGTGATCACCATCTGTGTCTGGCCTTCATCTAAAGGGCACGAAAAGACTCTCCTAATAATGGTGTCCGAGATGGTTTTCACATCCCGACCGTTCCCCCAGCCAGGAAGAGTGGATAGGTGTTCAAAGGACGCCAAGATCCGCGCGTGAAATTGACCATCAGGCTGCCGAACAACAGCGTGATCTACTTGGTGGACCTGTCCCAGACTGTCCCGCAGGAGTACCCAACATTGAGAGGGAGACAAGTTCTTGAACGTGACTGTCTCCGAGAAACGACTGGTGAGGCCGGGGTTCGATGCCATAAGGCGATTGATGTCCTCGTCATACCCGGCCAGGATAACAATCAGCCTTTTGAAGAATTTCTCCTTTGTCAAACAATCCACCAGCTGGTCCATGGCCTCTTTCCCAAATGTGCCGTCCGCGAGCCGGTACGCCTCGTCGATGAAGAGAACCCGACCTAGTCCCTTTTCGAGAAGCCTCTCGGTTTTTGGGCCGGTCTGGCCCACATATTGTGCGACAAGATCTGATGATGAGCACTCTACTACTTCGGGCGCCCCGAGAATACCCATGTCATAAAAGACCTGTCCCATACGGCGTGCGGTTGAAGTCTTGCCAGACCCTAAATAGCTGTCAGTCAAAGCAGACCTCTGCCAGAAGATGATCGAATATGTGCATACCTGGGGGCCCGCGAAAGAGGAAGTTGAAAGGAATCTTTTCCCGAGAATCCAATCCGAGTCTTTTCATGTTCCTAGCCACATTCTGGTAGCCCTCCAGCTGCGCAACAAGCTGCTCACAACCCACTACGCCGTGAAACAGCTTCCGACAGTTAGCGACCGCATTCTGTTCTCGGTCAAAATCAGGATCGAAGTCCAGTGGTTCTAGAATGTCAATATTCCTAGTCTTTCGCGCGGACAGTCGCTGCTGGTGGCGTAGTTTAGCCTTGTCGAGGAGGATATCCACCTCGCCAGCATTGCCAAAATTCGGTCTGTTTCGGGCGCGACTAAGACATTGGCGAACGACTGATCTTGCCTCTGCAGTCGCGCTGAAACCGAGTTGTTTAAGCTTGAGATTCAGTATGTCTTGGAGATCATCATCGGTAAAATTCTCGAAGTCGAATGCCGCGCTCAGAGGGAAACGTCGCGAGAGGCCTTCGTTTACTGTCTGGAACATTCTTTCCATCGCATCCCTGTATCCCAGAAGCAGGACACAGCGATCATCCCCGGGGACGCTTTGTACTTCTGCAACCAAAGTGTCGATGACCGCCGTCTTGTATATATCCGGAGTAGTACCCCCATTTGAAGATGAGGACGTGCCTCCGAGCATGTATGCTTCGTCGATTACTAGAACCTTACCAAGGGTGGAGGCCAATATGCCCTTCGTAGCGGCCTCCGAGCCCCCAATGACATTGCCAATGAAGTCAGATGGGTTTTTGACGACGACTACCGGGCGACCAGTGTCAGTAAACGGGATCCAATAAGTATATATTAACAGGCGGCGCGTAGACAATTACCTTCTCCGTTTGAAAGATATCCCATCTCAGCTAGGAGCTTTCCGTACAGTTTTGCGACTGTAGTCTTGCCGGTGCCTGGATTCCCGACGAAGACCTTATTGAGCGAGAACTCCACCATGGGCTTCTCCTCCAGCTCGCGTTGGTAGTTGAAGGAAACCGTGTCGAATAAGGCTTGGACCGATTGCTTCACCTGGCGGAGACCTGTTAATGCTTGCAGCTTGTCCCAAGTGGCGTTCTTATTAAGCACTGTGCGCGGATCCGGACCGAGAAGGTCCTCCTTTGTCAGAAGCAGATCATCGGTGGGCTTTTTCAATCTCCGTTCTCGTTGTAGCCGTTTGGCCTGACGCTCTGTGATACGCGCGAAGGCATTGTGCACGCTACGAGCGTTCCCAAACCCCTCACGACCGCGGCCGCGACCGACACGCCGTGCGACAATGCGCATGTACAGTCCATCCGGCCCATCCTCCACCCTCATTCGTCCCTTATATTTCTTGTTCATGTGATGATGGAGTATTGTACGCAGTTCCTCATCCGAGTAGTCCTGGAACTGCAGTTCAATAGGGAACCTGCTGGGAATACCGGGATTATGGGCAAAGAAGCTCTCCATATTCTTATTGTATCCAGCAAGGATGAATACGACCTTGCCTGTCAAATTCTCCACTTCTGCCAACAGGAAATCAAGAACCGAGCTACCCCCTGCATTGTTGCCGGAGGTTAACTGATAAGCCTCGTCTATAAACAAAGCTCCTCCACCGTTCGACTTTATTTCATTGAGATGTTTTTGGCACCCGGCAATGCCGGCGTTCGCGAGTTTCGAACCCGATGTCTCAATGAAGAAGCTTCCCGGGATGGCCCCAACAGACCCAAGGAATTGGGCATACAGACGCGCGACGGTGGTTTTACCTAGAGGGAATAGTCAGTGGTTGGAAAGATCGGGTCCAAGATACTACACAAACCTGTTCCTGGGTTTCCAAGGAGAGCTGCCCCAAACCGCTCGTCAGACAGACTTGCCCCCTGCCGAACGACCACATCCACCTTGGCCTTGATGGCAAGAAAGCTATCCTTGACATTTTCGAGTCCAATCATGTCCATCAGTGTGTCCAAAGCTGCGTTTGACTGGCCTTCTTCTGTCTTCTGCCTATTCCACTCATCTCGTGTAGCCGACTTGAGAGTAACCGTTTTGGGCTCACTGTTATCGTTACCAGTGCTATCAGCTGATTCCTTAGTCGCACCTGACCGGGAGGCAGTGAGGCGACTTGCGGCATCAGTCAGGCTCTCAAGTTCCTTTTGCTTTTGAGCAAGAGTCTCATGATGATCTCGGACTTTTTGCTCACTGGCCAGGCGTTCCCGCTGCATTTCGATTTTGTACTGAATCTCCGCAAGCTGCTTTGCATGTTCAAGCTGGATCTTACGTCGCTTCTCCTCCAGCTTGGCATCCTCATTCCTTCTCCGCTCTGCCTCAATCGCCTCCCCGTGACAGGTACGGCAGACCCTGGGCTCTCCTTGGGAGCATTCCCAGTAGTAATTGTGGTTTTTAGGGCAGGCTTTATGCATAGTCATTGTGCATTTCATTCTCTTGTGATCCAGAGCGCGGTGGCACCGTCGAATACATGAGTGAAGACCACATGGGAGTAAGGTTGAGCTACAATTCCCGTTTGAGTTAACTATGGAATCAATGTATTTGTATGGAACGCTGACATACCAAGGATCCGAACATCCTCCATCAGGACATTCCTTCTCAAACGTTTCTGGAGACTGGACGACGATCATGCGATCCGGATGGGTTTCACATTTGAGGGGAACACCATCATATAGCTGACCATGGGCCTGAAGCATCTCTAGCAGAGGCTTCCACGTGGACTGTCCTTTCCGGCTTGCTAGGAATGTACTCGCGTTCCCAATCATCACCAGGGCATTTCTTGCTCGGGAGAGTAGAACATTGACACGCTCCGGAGCAGCCATGAAACCAATATCCCCGGCCTCATTGCTACGCGTCAGGCTCGCAATGACGATGTTCCTCTCTTCGCCCTGGTAATTATCTGCCTGGGTTACCATCTATCGCGGAGTTTGGAAGGTTGGCGCGCTTACCTATGGTTGATATGCGAATCGGATCTCTAGTGACCTTCGTACTCCCCGGCAACCGAAGACCGGCTTGTATGAGGTCGTTCGCATCCAGGTCGTTCAGCACCGGGTCATTTGTTTTACTCAGCTCCGTCCGCAGCAAAGATAGCTGGCCCAAGTACGGTGTCAAAATTACAATGTCCTCCGTGCCGTACCCTTGCTGCCCCAGGTACTTGACAACCTTCAACGTCATCTCCACCTCGAATGGATTCTGCTTGCTAGCCTTCAAGGTTGGATCCCTTCTTTCGGCATATTCATGGAGTTCACGCTCCAGATGGCAATGGTTTACGAATACGACGTCAGTTTGGAACCCACGGAGTGGTGGTCGCTTGCACGTCCGCTTCGAATCCTGCAAGTCCGGAT